GGCTCATCTCGGTTAAAAAGACCACCACATTTTGAAGATGAAGAGTTAAAAAATAAAAGTGACAGCTACCAGTCCATACTCCATTGATTGGTCCATATGCTGGACTGGATCTGGCCACCCTCCCGTCCCCAGGCCACTGCTACTGGATGCTTCTGTATTACAATCAACCCCTGCAAAATCATTTTGATTTAAACGTTTAAATTAAACACAAATGCTTCTCTGTGCCTCTGTGATAGAGCAAAGCAAATATGCAATAGTGCTTATAAAAGTGTTAACGCCTGTAGTTTAGCCTATGGAGGAATCAGGATAAGGAGAAAATGAGTGTTGAATTAGTGCATGGCTGGGACTACATAGCTTAATTTTAAGTTATATTGAAATGCTTAAAAACTAATTATATTAACTAACTAATTATTTTTATGTTAATGTGATAAAATAACTAAAACTGTTGATTGTAAGCAAAAAAAAAAACGGCCATGAAAAGTCGCCATGTGCCACCGTATTTAATCTAAGATGGTTTTAGTCTTAGCCATAATTCACGCTGTGTTTCTGATTAGGTTAATTCCCAAATGTTGAGCTCAGTCTGTGTGTGAATACCAGCAGCAGCAGCAGTGACAGCGTGTGAGAGCATGCTGCTTAATCCTTATTATATTTAGAGCAGATGGATGAAGGTGACAACTAAGGTGTGTGCGTGTGTAGACATTGGGTGAGATAGTGTTGGCACCATCAGTGTGTTGCCATAGGAACATGGAGTTCAGACATGTGACAAGTTGGCAGAGAATCAGCCATGTGTATTACAGCTCAGTCGGTTGGCACCTGATTCCTGGAACTGCCTTCCAACACCAGATCAGTGGTCCTACTGCTGTTTTATTGTTTCATATGTACTGTGTTGTGCCTGAGGAGGGGAGACTGATACACTGTTGCATTTAAGTTCCAGTACAGAACTCCAAGGCCCTGTATACACCTGGCAATAAAGTGAGTGCAGTGAACGACCAACAACTACATACCACGCTGATGCTGAACAGCCAAGGGTGTTTCACACCTGGCATTAGAATACATCTCATGTGTCCCACGTAACTAGAATCTCACTTTCTCGCTCTGTATGCAAATAAACACTATAGGGGTGTACCCTGCTCGTGATTTTTGCTGTCCCTTGGCTGTTCACCTTCGACTATTCATTCCTTTTTTTTCAGTTCACACTAAACTCCTATAGTCACATGTCTTACCTGCACTATCAGCAGCCCTCCAGGAGAGATGCTCTGCTGTGGGATTTTCTAACTATATGAGCAGCACACACACTTTTACTTTCTCTGACTGTGTGGAAATCTGATGTTTCGACAAAGATGACAAAGAAGTGAGTGGTTTGAGTGATCACAATGCGTCTTGGTGGTCATTTAAACTTAAATTTAGAGCTGTGCACTCCGATCACGAGAGACCAAGCATTTTAATACCAGGTGTAAACATGCTCTATGATAGGAAGAAGTATCTTTATTTTCGGTATACCTTACCTTATCTCTCCAAAGCAGTCATTCATCTTTGAGTGTTCTCATACTGTCTAAGTAGGAACTCCCTTTGTCTTTGTGAGGAATGTCCCGGCCTTTCAAGAGGCTTTTCAGGCTTTACAGCTTTCCTCATGGGACCATAATTGTGGTTGGACTGAACAGGAGTAGCTGCCCAATATAGAAACAAATGACCGCTAACTAGCTAGCAGCTAATTGTAGTTGTCCAAAACATCTACAGAAACCATGGCACGTTACTTCCTCAACTCAAGCCTCTAAACTTAATCTCCCAAATCAAGAATCCCGCTGCTTCTATTAGTTTTTGCACTGGTGTCTGTAACTCAACCTGATATCTGCTTATACGAGTGCTTCCTGCACTTACCCTCGGCCTCTTCAGCCCTCCACCAGTTTCTAAAAACAGATTGTTTCTGAAGTGGTCATGTCTGCACCGCTCCTCTACTTTGATGTTCCAACAATACAGAACATCCTCCGTGCCTAGGTGCTGGGCTCTGGTTGCATAACCCTGCTGATACGTTCCTGAACAGCTAGACAACACTTCCAAGATCCCCTGCTCCATTCCTCTTTTTATTCTCAGTGTTTGTGCATGTTTTTTTTCCAAAGTTTGTTTCCTCCTTGAAAATTGATTTACATATGTATGCCCAACAAACTGATAAATACAAGATAGGTTCACGTAATTTTATTACATCAAAGATTAATGTTACACATGAAAATAACATACACTGAACAAAATTATAAATGCAACACTTTTGTTGTGCCCCCATTTCATCATGAGCTGAACTCAAAAGATCTAAGACTTTTCTCCTATGTACACAAAAGGCCTTATTTCTCCTCAATATTTTAAACAAATTCTGTCAATATCTGGTTAGGGACACTTCTCCTTTGCCGAGATATCCATCCACCTCACAGGTTGTGGCATATCAAGATGTCTGGATCAGACAGCATGGGTATGTGCCACAGGTGTGCCTTAGCATGGCCACAATAAAAAGCCACTCGAAATGTGCAGTTTCACTATATTGGGGGGGTCGGGGGGTCCGGGGGGAAACCAGTCAGTATCTGGTGTGACCACCATTTGCCTCACGCATGTGCCACACATATCTTCACGATAGAGTTGATCAGGTTGTTGATGTTTCCTGTGGAATGTTGGTTCCACTCCTCTTCAATGGCTGTGTGAAGTTCTGATATTGGCAGGTACTGGAACACGCTGTTGTATTTTGACAGATTTGTAACAATATTTGAGAGAAATAGTGCCTTTTGTGTACATATGAAAAGTCTTGAGATCTTTGAGTTCAGCCTCATGATGAATTGGGGGCAAAAACAAAAGTGTTGCTTTTATAATTTTGTTCAGTGTAAATTAACTACATTTCCACCTACAGTATATGAAACTTCCTTCAATGTGCTTGTGGTTGTCAGAAGAGGAGTTTTTAAAAGCAGAGATCGCAGTGTTTTTCACCATGTAACTTTGGAATAAAAAGTGGCCAGATGTGGCCATAGATTGTAGCTGGTAGATGCTTTTTCTTGCAGGCTGCTGCAAGTTTGCATCTGCAGTAGCTACTATCAAGTGAGGTTATTCCCGATAACCCCTCCTAAACCCATTATGTTGTGTAGTGCATGATAAAGATTGACTTGATTGATTGCACAGGCCTTATTTTTATTTCATGATCCTCATGAACATGTGTCATCATCCTAATCATTCCCGATTTATGGAATTCCAATACTGTTTATGGACCCTAGTATGCAGAAATATTTAAATATTGCAAAAATACAGCTTTCAGGTTTGAAAACATTCATCAGTTTTGTTTGACAAAAACAATTTGACCCATGGTCCACATATAGCATAAAGTCCATCTGTTGAGGGAAGTAGATAGTAAGTGGACTGTGAGTTTCTGCTGTATCCAAGGTTTAGCATGAGCTGTCGGCCTCCAGTTTCACATCATGTTCTATGACTTTAATCAGAATATCTTTAGATCTGCACAGTCTTAGCCTTCTGTCTGTAATTAATTGTGTGGTTCCGTTTGGAGATGTTCAAAAGACAGATTTTGGGTGGAGTGTGATCAGCAAAACTACCAAACATCTCTAAGTAGAGCAGGCTGATGGAAGCTGTATTTTTAATATCCTTGGTAGGTCAGCAGATACTTAGAACAGAGGTACATTGATATTGCCTCCATTAAAGGCCAGGCTCACTAGCAGCCATTGTGCTCCCCTTCTCCTTCTGTCTGTCTCCGCCTCCAACAGTACACAACCTAGCCAAGCGTGTTTCAGAGTAATAAGTCAGTGTTAATGCACGTCTTTATTCTCAGTGACAGAAAAAGGTTTGTTCACTGTGCACAGCGCTTAGAGCTTCAGGCTGCAGGGGAACCATAATAATCATTACATCAGAGCAGAGAAGGCTCAAATGGATGGATACACGCACACACAGTCTTAAAGCCACGTCTGATAATGCTTTGTTCTAGTTTCCTATATGCCTCTAATGTGAACGCCAGTCAGGAATGGGTAGTTCCAGAATAGGCTACATGTAATGGCAGGATATGACCAAAGAATATGTTCTAAATGAGGTAGAAAACAACTGCTAAATCATGTGACCCTGAAGCGCAGCAGTTTCAAAACATGAAAGAAGCCATGTGATGAAAGTGTTTACATTACATTGGGTCAGGTGGAGGTGAGGCCTGACCATCATCCTATACAGCCTGTGCTCTTTCCCATGGTGTCACATACCCACATACTGTCACAGTCCTTTAGCAGTTCTCAATGATAACAGCAGAAAATATGAGATGTGGACAGTAATGAAAAGGACTGGGACCAGACTACATTCATTCGTACCTACTGGTTAGACTGACATTGGGTATGAGTACTCATTGCCCCCAGAGGATACATTTTGTTAACTCCAACTCCTTGTTGTCCACCATATCCTAACATTTGCTGTGCTGATGATAAACCCTTCTGGTTTTAATTACACTATGACCTTTCCTCTTGCACCTTCATTGGGACAAATATAATATTTTTAGCCCAACACCCTTAGGGTTCTATGAGGAGCGACATATTTTGTTCAGTTTGTCCCACATTTGTTGTTTTGTAGTGGGTTGTGAATGCTCCATGAAACAGCTGTTTCATAGTGCAGCAGTTTTTCTTTTTTACTGAATCTGGAATAATGTGATGCACTGGATAAGAGCTGGCTCTAGTTGTGGAGAGATGAAATGAGAAGAAATGTTGTCATCGGTACAGTATGTATTTCTGTTCTTTGGCTCACAGAGCAGACTGATCACTTTGGTTCTGATTTATTATTTTGTTTTATTTTATGTTTTCTTGTCTCCTAGCTTTCTAGTCTCTAGTTATTCCTCTTTGATTTTCTTTACACTCCAGATGTACTGTTTCTTTTTAGATTTGAAATAGAGTCTTCAGTGGGGAGAGGAGAACTCTCACTGTGTGCTTGTGTGTTTGCCTCACTGTGTATCTGGCTCTATCTGACCAGTGTGTCCCTCCTTACAGATGAGATCATGCAGCAGGAGATCAGGCCCCTGCTGGCTGTGGACATCATAGAGCAGCTTCATCGCCAGTTTGCCTTGCTCTCAGGTACGTAACAAGACTCTGTTGTCTCATTTTCAGGTTGTCAACCACTGATGGTTTGGAAGACTCAACAATCAACTATATTTCTGAGCTCCGATTGGTTGTTTTCATTTAGGCCCAGTGGATTCTTGCAAATGGCATTAGGAGCACTAGGAGGAGCCAGAGGAACCTTATTGTTTACAGATTATCTGTCTCATGTACTACTGTCAGAATATAGTGAAAGTTTCAGCAAATATTAGTTTCCTGTGGCTTTCAGTGTCTTTTGAAAGTTATTAAAAAAATTTACTAGAACAGAGCTAGAACAAATGACATATCTCTTGTACTGTACTGTATGCCCTGTAGTCTACACAGTATGTTACAGACCCTACTCTTCCCTAGTTTGGTGGCAAAAGGTGCCACAATCACAATTCTGTCCTGGTCTGTGCTGCATGTTGCAATATTCTGTATCTCGTCTCCACCTTCATTCCGCTCAATAAATGGCAACAAGGTCTCGTCCACCTCAAACAGTATTTAAGATTAATTCTCTTATTCACAGTGCCGCTTTTTACTTCTCACTTACTGGAACTCAGGATTTCAATTGTAATCCCTCTGATACATTCCCAGCAGTTTCTAAGCTGGTGTTATGTTTCTGTTGAGTTGTATCATCGGTACAAGTCACAGAAGAAAGGGCTTAATGAGTAAAACAGCTGCTTGGTTGGTCCTCTTTAAGACAGTGAATAAGCATATTTCCCAAAAATGACATTTTCCGAGTTCTAATCCTGTGATGCTCTAACTTCTGTTTCACTGTAACTTTAAAGGGGACACCAACCAAACAGGGAACTAGTCTGTTCACATCCATAAAAGAAAGAAATTTCAGTCATGTTAGTCAGTCACTTAAACCCAATGGATGCAGTGTCCCTGCAGGATGGATTCAACACAACTCCCTCTGGCATAATGTGCATTCACTGTCCCATCCTGTATAGATCCACGACAAAAACACCCCTTCTAGAAACAAGCCAAATATTCTTAATTATAATAATTTTTTCTTGTATTAAGCTTTTTTTTTTTTTTGACAAAAAATATAATTTTCTTGCAGTGTCCATGCCCTGCATCCAAAGAGAAGAAACAGGAAGGGAATTTACATTCATATAGGATGATTTGAGCTTTTGTATTCATTGATTTGCTGTCTAAGAGATTGTTTTGTTTTTGATTTTAAGTGATTTAGGCCACTCTAGCAACAAGGCTGTAGGGATGGCAGGTCAGTCTGCCACTTTGGTCCAGACTTAAATATCTCCAATATTTAATAAAACTATTGGATGGCTTACCAGAGCAGCAAAAGTTCACACATTCTTTATTCTTTTAGAAGTACAAATACTTAAATACGTAAAGAAAGACTCTTAAAAAGTAGAAATACTGATTCTTCACTAAAGTAAAAGGGAGAAAGTACTGAAATGTAATCACAGTATTATAGTAGAAAGTACTCTCTTGGTTTTTCTGAAGGACATTTCTTTCTGTGCAAAGCTAACTGAAACTTCAAACAGGGTTGAGTCTCTCTCTGTTTCGTCTTGTTACATCAGTTTTGTCGTCTTATGTCTGATAATACTCCTCATTGATCAAGTATGTTTAGTCATTTTTGACACTGACTTAATTTTGTAACAAAATACCTGGTAAAAAGAACTTAATCAGGGATGTTTCTGTAACTCAGAAAAACTGTTTTAGTGTCACTTAAAATGACGAGTAAAAGCTGCTTAATCAAGATTTTTTTTTTTATGTTACTTAAAATTTTCTTTGGCACGATTGGCCCAATGAAGAGTGAACAGCTGAGTTTATCCCTCCTGAGAGTGCTCTCCACCACCACAGCTGCTCACACTCCCATGTGAAAGTCTCAACTGGTTCTGCATGGATGTGTTTGTATATTGGGAAGTGTTCACTGCGATCCAGCTGCTGGAAAGAAAGTCAAGTAATTTTTTCAGTTCAGACAGGAATATTGCTTCTGGGTGCCCTCAGACTTTCCAGATGTGTTGTTACCGGTGGCACAGCAGCCTGCGTGTGGTTCTCCAGGGATGCCTCTCATTCTTTCTCCCAGTCTTCTCACAGCAGCCAAAATAACAACTGTTTCCAAAAATCCCTCTCTCAGCATTACTTGCCTCCAGAGTTACATAAGTTCAACACAGGCCTGGTTTATGGCTTTCACCATGTGTGTGTGCTGTGTGTTGTGAGTATGTGTGTGCCTGCTCAGTAGGATGTGGGTTAGTATGGTATGATCCTTTGGCTAGATTATTTTGGTCTTTTCCTTTACATACAATTTTGTCAACATGCGAACTGGAACCATTCTTCACTTACACTGGTTAAGTCCCTGTTTCATCTTCCTCTCACACAGCATACCTAGCAATGTGATATCTTTGACCATCTTCAGGTGGTGCTCTTTAGGGGCGTGTCCAGACTTCTTTGACTAGGCAGAGCTCTGACATATGCAGGCATGAAGTATGTGTCTCAGCTTTCCAGTCATTCCCAATTTATACAATTTCAGTACTGTTTATGGACCCCAGTGTGCAGAAATATTCAAATACACTAAGTGAAAATAACACATTTATACCACATGCAAAAGACTGCATGGTTTTTGGCCCAAACTGCATGGGATTGGACACTTGGATGCATTATCTAGTTTCATATGATATCAGTATGTTCATTCAATGGAACCCACTACAGCCTCTGATAGACAGTGCTGAGAGGAAGAAGTAAGGAAAACAGGATGGCACTTGGGGTGGCCCCTGGTCTTTACTTTACGCTCAGCCATGGTGGTTCTAACTCCCCCATTTTTTGCAAAACAAATTAAAAAAACACAGCACATTACTCTTTGAGTTTGAAAAAACACAGCCAGTGTAAAGGCTTTCATGTGCTGTGTGTTGAATTACCTTTGTGTTATTAGCTGCAGACACAGAGCTGCAAATTGGACATAGAATCATTACAAGCTGTGTATTGTTTGGAATGTTTTTAAGTTTTTAATTAACATTGGTTATACCTTTCGCCGATAATCATTTCCACAACTTCAAAAGACTCACCCAGAGCCCTCACACAGCGGAGCCAATGCCAAATTTGGATGCTACAGTGTCACATGGAGGCATTCTTATAAAAAGCAAATACAAGTCTAACTTAAGCAATTATAGACTACTCAGATTTATGCAGCCACAACAGCAAACATAAATCTTTTTACATCCAGAAAGGTGTCGCCAAAGCTTCATGGTGGACCTTTTTTTATTTGAATGAAAAACTTATATACAGTGGGCCTATATCTCAGCATTTTATCCAAGATTCACAAAAATCATTTAACACAAACGTATTGTGTTACTGTGTTCACTGTTTGGCTTCACTGTACAGTTTATCAGTTGTT